TACTGAATAGTTAACGGTGTCCTCCCTCTAGATCTTCCTAATGTTACCTCAGAACAGCTGAACATAAATGTGCTTGAAGGCGATAATGTTAAAATACCATGCCATATCGAGTCTAACCCACCAGCATGTGTCACATGGCTGTTCAATGGTAAAAGCATTCAAAAACTTATTAAGTCAAACTTCTATGGTGAAAACGCAATTCCTCATATAGATTACAGTCCACCTTATAGCAATTTAAAACTGTATTCTATAAAACCTGATCTACATCGTGGTCAATACACATGCCATGCATCTAACGCTGTTGGTCAGAAAAACTATACGTTTAACGTCAGTGTGGAAGGTGAGTTTTCCATCACGAATTCTAGTCAAACTAGTCGATTTTCAGTAATAGTTGTGGTGGGCTATAGGCCATGCATTTTGATCAAAAATCGACCATTTTTGGCCATTTTGGTGGGCTATAGCCCATGCATTTTATTCAAAAATCGACCATATTCGGCCATTTTGGTGGGCTATAGCCTATGCATTTTGATCAAAAATCGACCAGTTTTGGCCATTTTGGTGGGCTATAGCCCATACATGCATTTTGATCAAAAATCGACCATTTTTGGCCATTTTGGTGGGCTATAGCGCATGCATTTTCATCAAAAATTGTTGCTTATTTTACTTTGTTAGGATTTGAATATATGCATATATAACAGTTGTATTCAAGTTGAAAGACTGACTTAAGCATATGATGGTTTATCTCATTTTTTCATTTCTTCAGCCAAGAAAAAAAGGAAGCCTACGATTATATGCGCGGACAACAAGAAAACGTATTTGGGCTCTAGTTTCAACATAACCTGCACCGTAGTTTACCCGCCATACCACAGAGGGCCAAGGCCTGTAGACTATCGACGAGGAGGCCGTCGAGTTGAGGACGATAGCCGTCATGAGCTTTACCAGAATCCAAATAAACTAAATCAGTTTACAATGATGATTAAAAATGTCAGCCATGAAGACGCAGGAACTTGGGAACTATACGCACATAACTTTCCTAACCATCCGGAGATAAAAAACATTACAATCCAAGTTGGTAATTGTGATTACTTTATTGATAATATTGATAATCAGAAATCTCCTCATGACACGTAATCAGGTATTCCACAAAATGTTGGCTCTGGAATCTAGAATCCAGACACTTTGAATTCGGAACTTCGGCAATGGAAACGGAATCCAATAAAAAGAAGGAATCTGGATTTTAAATNGATTTATATCAACTTCTCAACTAAACAAATAAAACAAAGGTGACCTATCTGTTTTAATTTCCCAGGGCTTATACCTGTTTTGTACCTATTTTCAAAAATATTGACCCAAATAAGAATGAATTAATCATACTTAAGAAAAAAATGCATTTTAATGAGCTTATTGAAATTTATGCTCAGTTGAAAAATTGATGACTTTCAACCATTGCCATGAGATTCAAAAGATATTAAAAACGGCGGCCATGTTGGAGAAATGACCAATAGATAACAATGAGAAATCCTTTGTTGAAGTTCCTCCAAGATGGCCGCTGMGACGTAACTTGAAAACGAAAAATAAACCGAGGTTTTTCGTCCAGGTTTTTCGCATATATAAATATTTTCATTACGTGTTCATAAATGTTTATCGTTAGGAATGATACCGATGCTGAAGTGTCGTTGGTTATTGAGATGTCTAAGCAAGCCGGTGCTTTTGATGCCCAAGAATGCAACCACTGGGCTAAGGGAGGTATGCATAATAAACTGACTGGTTCGAACAATAAGAAATGAGGCACTTAGGCATGTGGAACAAGCTTACCAAAGTCGGAGATGATATGTGAGCATGCGCAATCGACTGATTACGAGTTTTGATAATGACAATTATTAATGAGATGGTTCGAACAATACGAAATGAGGCATTTAGCCATGTGGGACAAGCTACCGAAATCGGAGATGATATGAGAGCATGCGCAATCGACTGATTACGAATTTTGATAATGACATGGAATTATTAATGAATGAATGAACCTGGAGGCAATGAATACCCGAATGCTTGTCAAACCTCAATAATGAATTTTGAAGTAAGACTGACCTTTCTTACAAAACCTATGCTTTCAGGGTCTGGCGCTATTGGTTTGTCCAAGTCACTACTCAAAGCAGTGGAGCAACCCATTCATTTTAAATTTTTATATGAACTGAAGGTACAACATCGAAGTCTTTTGCTTGTTTTCAATCATTTCCATGAGATTCGAAAGATAAGAGACCGACAGCCATTTTTGTTAAAAATCCTTTGTTAAAGAAGCTCCAAGATGGCCGCTATGACGTATTTTGCAAAGGAAGAATTAGAGATCAGAGAGATATTCCCACTTCATAAATTCAACACCAAAATAGATTCAATTTGGGATCAAAACGAAAGTGTTTTGAGCCTATTTTTTTTATCCACCAGCTGAAGGAGTCATTCATACAAAGTGAATAATTAAAATCRTTATGTTTTAAATCGTCCTGATGAAGTTTGTTTTGTTGTATTGACTAGTTGCCTATCGAGGATAAGATAAGAATCATCGCGCAGAAAGTGTATGGATCAGATGATATCGAGCTYCTGCCCGAAGCGCAGGAAAAGATTGAACGCTTTAAGAAACAGGTTTGATATCCCAACGAAACAACGGAACAACGAAARAATACAAAAACAACGAAACAATACAAAAACAAAAAAACATCCGAAGACGGTGCAGATCGGGGAAAAAAAATAACGAAAATAGTGCACAGCTTCGGCGAGACAGAGACATAAAATGGATCATGGAATTGCAGATTTGTGACTGTTTTTTCTGTAATTCGCAGGGTTTCAATGACTTGCCAATTTGCGTGGCGAAGACGCATCTTTCCCTGTCGCATAAACCTGATTTGAAAGGAGTTCCTACAGGTGGGCATTAGAAGAGGATAAACATCTTAAGTTTTTAGGATATAGCATTTTTGTCTACATTCTTACCGCTTACACGGCAAATGTTTCCAGTTTGATTTTGACAATTTTTGCATCCGTTGTGATCTTTTCAACAATATTTGCGAAGAAATTAAAAACCGAACGGAATGTAGGCTAATGTTGAGGAAAAGTATTGCCTTTCAAATTTTCTCTTAATGAACGCTAATATTGAACAAATATGCTAGACAGCACGGGAAAAGATCCCGAGAKAGAAAAACATCGGAGATCYAATGGACAATCATCCATATCTAATCATTATCATCATCATCATCATTAATCAATCATGAATGGTTTGTTGACAGGCATAATCCTGCCAATCAGAGATGTCCGTGCGAGTGTTGGTGCGGGATTCCTTTACCCGCTCGTGGGCACTGTAAGTCTGATTTCGAAACATTTCCATATYAAGTTCACTCTTTCAAAATAAAATAATGTTGTTTTTATTTTCAGATGAGCACAATGCCAGGATTACCCACAAGGCCTTGTTTCTATGACATTGACCTTGACGTTGAAACRGGAGATGTGATTGGGTTGTCTTAAACCACGTGATTTCCACGATCTTCAGTAGGGTGACATGTTCTAAGCATTTTACAGGTTTTCTAGACAATCGTAAATCACTTTATCCTGAGAATTATCGATGTTTGTACGAACACGGCAAAAACAATTGATTTAAAATACAATTTTAACGATGTAACTCACTGAGCGAGGACAAAGTGATTCAGGTCAGTATAATGGAAATGAGAAATAGAATTCCTAGAATTCATTAGGGCTAGGCTTCCTTAAGTAACACAAACAAGTTCTGAGTATGAAACGACCAGCCTAGGTGTCAGTCATGATCATTGTGACGTCATTTTTCTGTCACTTAGTGATATGATTAGCATTCTTTTATACCGTGATGCCGAGAAATACAATGRTCCGGAACACGTTGATGAGGAGATCAAGTTTGCTCCTTTTTGACTCTTAATATGATATATATGTTTTCAATTGACTGAATATCAAGATCGATAAATGTTGGATCATTCTAAATAAAAGATTTTAGTGGACTAACTAGCATCTCTCATACAGTGAACTCCCTCTTAACGGACACTTCTATTAGAAGGGCGCCTCCTACATATAGATCACWGCACGGGTGGTGAGTGCTCGGGTATAGTCTATAAATGATTCAGATGATCAGCAATGATAGGTTTGGACATGTGCGCCGACCCMCCAAMGAAGTCTATGGTAACAACAACCACGTCACATTGACCCCTGTATTTAAGGTTAAATTCATACCTGTAATTACCAGGGAGGGGTGGGTAGGAGCAGCACATTCACGCATCGACACGGAACGATTGAMCAAGCAAGAAACGTGTAGATTTGCACAGCTCAGGGTGCATCCATTGTGCACGTTAGCGACCGCRGACCAGTAGAGCATTGGACTGAGCCGTCTCTGATAGCAATCCATTGGAAAGCTATCCATCGGCAACAATTGAGAAGGCGCGTAAACGTGATTTGTTAGCATCCTCCGCAGACAACCCTACCCTCTGTTGGGATGCGCTTTTCGAGTTACTTAGTGCCTTCGAGTTACGCGCTTTTAAATTAAAATCAAAATATAAAAGAGCTCCTTGCTTTTACGGCTTTTATTTTTGAAGCAAAATACAGCTGTTTGCAATAATTCTGACCCCATCTGCCATATTTCATATATATCAAACTGACCTTAAATATTATGGGATATCATGACTGATATATTTTTTNCTCATCTTGCACCTTGGATGTCAAACTTTGTCTTGAGACACACGAATTTTCGCGGCGATTTTGCGGAAAGAAAGTATCCCTCAAGTGTTTTCGGTAGCTTTGGTGAAGAAAGATGCACAACCAAGGGTTAATGGCGCTGTTTGAGAGGAGTAAAACGAACGCGGAAAATGAGAACCCCCAGGCTTTGCAGGGCAGACGGCCATTCCATACATAGCGCGATAAGACGCCTAGTATAGTAATAGGCAAAAGACTGACTAAAAACACCGTCACCATAACCGCCACGTTACGTAAGACTGCAACGTCTTCTTTACGTCTTTGCTTGCGAATCTGTTGTGTTTGCGCCTTGAACATGTCGTTCTTCATCACAGAAACGACGAGCCAGAAATACAGGACGAGAATCAAAGTGAGAGGGATGCAAATTACAAAGATGAAAATGAGAGTGAACAAAATAGACTCAGAACTTTTTTAACTCGAAGATTGCGTTAGCAATCGAAGGGTTATTGTGGGGGAACGATCTGTCACTCACTAAGTCACTCACTCACTCACTTTCCTGTTAACTGGCTGGTTGCCTTACTAACTGCTATTTTTTGACTTATTAATTTTTAATTATTCATCTTCACGGTCTACCTGTTTCTTTTTTTTTGAAGAGAAAGAAACTCATGTACTCGATGTGGCTCGAACCCACGAACTCTCGCTTCAACGACAGAGACACTACCACTAGATCATGTGCACATTAGGCATTACGTCATGGCTGTTTTACTAGCTTTTATCCGACACGAGATCAAACCATGGGTTTCCTGTGTCATAATGAATAAAACTACTTCTCAAGGCGGTCAAGGGCTTCGAGGACCGAAATATATAATGTCGTTATAAGATTCTATTCTTTTGCGTAAAAAGAAGTTTTTAAAACGGTTTCCGCTTCGAGTGTGTGTCGACAGTTAGAAAGAGTCAGTGAAACGGATCCAGGGAAACGTAAACTTACAAGAAGCTTCTCGACCAAAAATTGTTGTTGATAAACGTCTCGGCCGAATTTGGCCATTTAGAACTTACGTAGAAAACAAAATTTCAAGCAAATGGTTGTGAATATGCCCTTTGGATCTTGAGATAAGCTATCAAAGTGCTGAAATTTACTATTTTGTGTATAATTATAATTTGACTCGTTGTCATATGTTGTTCAGACTCACAACGGAAGCATGAGGAAGACTCGCCGATCCGACTAATTCGTTTCGAAAACCACTTTATGTATGTTCTATGTATCCATGTTCGTCTACAATTCAAAAAATGAATTCACTCGCTAACTTACTATTACATTGTAATATTTGATATATAGTTTATGTAAGAGTTACATACCGAGAACG